ACATTACATATAATGCTCTTCCAAAGGATGTTTAAATATTAAAATCAGCCTTTGAAGTTGCAGTACTGTTTGGAAGAGTAGTTTGGGGAGACTGTGCAAACCAGGGGTAGGAGACCTCTGGATGATATAGGATCCCAACTCCCATTTGCCTCAGCCAGTTTGACTAATGGTCAGGGATGTAGTCCAACAAAATCTAGAAGGCCACGGGTTTCCCTCTTCTAGATTAAACCATTCCCCACTGGCTGGTTCCCACAAAAGTCATCTCAACAGGGTAGAACCCGTGGCAAAGACTCATTCCACTTACATAGAGATACAGTCAATAAGATAGCATGCGAAAGCTACAACTGGAATGGAAAGGAAACTTGCATTGAAAACAGATGGCAGCAGCACAGAGTTTAATGCAGGGATGGGAACATGTGGCTCTCTAGGTGTTAAGACTCCCAACTCCCATCAGCTCTAGCCAGCATGGCCAGTGGTCAGGGATGTTGAAAACTGTAAGCCTAACAATATCTGGAAGGCAGCATGCTTCCCTGTCCCTTGTTTAACCTGACAAGGACTAAAGGGTAGGAAGGCACTGATCCACAAAAAGTAGCTACGGAATCTAAGGGCAGTGCCAAAAGTTTAGAAGGTGGTGAGAAAGTTTTAAGGTTGTTGTGTGTGCTGCAGGTAGGGCTGCCAACTGACCAGGGTGGTACTGGAATTACACTTGTGCCTTTTATCAGCAGCTTGTTCTGCAAAAATCAGCAAGTGAAGGTCTTCAGGATATGTAGATAATAAACACATTTTGCACCTAACAAATGCCTCCCATTCCACAAAGACTTCTGCTTTATCAAGGGAACTTTCCTTCCCTCTCCTCAAATCTCCTCAGGAGGGTTGGGGTAAAACCCAGAACAGATTTTTTTTGGGGGGGAGGGAAGGAGAGGAGAGGAGAAGAAGGAGGGGAAGTTCCATTGTATGAATGGAATGACTTTGTTGGGAAAAACACAAAGTTTGCATATCAAGCTGCTGTTAAAGCAGAGGAGAGGAGCTAGTCCAAAGCTGGCAAGCCTTAATCAATTTACATACATTATGGCTCAAGGTGTTTTTTTGTTTTAAAAAACCCTCATGTGTAGTCTCTCCCACCACTGCCTTATTCATCAATGAATTTTCTTGTGAATTCTAGTTAGAAAGTGTTCCAGTTAAGGCTTCCTGTTGCCTTCACCTTTCCACTGACTCTAGCATTCCTCTGCCTCTTCATGGCCCCTTCAGTGCTGGTCCCAGCTTAATTCTCCATTTTTGCCACCACTTTAGTGACAGTTACCTTCGTCATATTACATTTTCCCTGTTACCTCTGTTTTAGTGGTGAAAGTGTTGATAAGCTCCACTGTCTCCACCTACTTTCTCTCCATCTTGCTCTTTGACGGCAGGAGGTGGAGAACCTCGAAGGGATGCAGGAGCAGCTGGGTTGGCCATCAGCCGCAGGAGTCCCCTAAACAGAGGGCCTTGGAAGGGGGTGTTTCCCCCTATTAAGTTGCCCATCAAGTCCTTCACTAAAAGAAAGTCCACAATTTATGCAACAAATTTCCTACTCTGCTCAGACTTTCCTTTCATTACATAACTTTCTTGATACATGCTACAACACAGCAGAGATTAAGACATATTCACACTAATAATTATATGAGTAGTATAGGAATTTAAACAGTCATGGCTTTCCCCATACAATACTGGGAATACTGGTTAAGTGCAAGGTTCTCAGCTGGAGATCTCTTGAACTTTCCAAGAACTACTGTTCTCAGGATTCACTTAAGGGAGAGTGACTTTATGCCAGTTTATGGATGTAGAAACATTCTTGGGAGAATTTCGATTAAAAATTCCCTAGATGAGATAACAACATGGGACAAAAGCTAAGCCTCAACATAAAGCCTCCTGTGTCACAGAAGCTTAAAACCCATCTCACAACCTGTAGACTTCTCTCTCTGTGTGTGTATGTGTGTGTGTGTGTGTGTGTGTGTGTGTGTGCGCGCGCGCGCCCACGCATGCAAAGAGACATGGAAATGCAACCTATTATCTCCATTGGCTTTTACTTTATACCTTATCACCTCTACTCCTTGCAGGTTACATTTGAAAGGTGGACTGGGCTGGGAAAAGGGCATCCCAAATCAAACTGCCACCCTTGCCAGGCCTAAACTGACCTTCAAGTTTGAGGTTCTCCATCACTGCTTTATTGTAACTGAAATAATTTATATCAGCCATAATTGGTGTTTCAATGCACATGACTCTCCTTCCCACACTCCCTGTTACTTTTTGGAAAGGAACACCTGGAAGAAAGCAGGAAGGAGGGTGGGGGCACAGGGTGGGTGGGTGGGGTGGGGAGCACAGTCAGAAGCAATGTGTCTCCTGGAGGCAAATGATGGAATGCTATGGACTGTACTTAAGAGTGCACTTCTATATCCATATACTTGAAAGTAACAGTTGTAAGCAAAGGACTTACTCTGTGGTGTGTTTATGATTGCAGTTCTAAAGTTCTGCTGTTTAATGGACCTTATTCAGAGTGTGCATAAAATTGCAGCCAAAGATATATATTTGCTCCTAATGTTTCAAGTGAAAAATCTGAGTGCATGGAAACCAGCCAGGTAGTTCAGTATTAGCCAGGTGGGAACTCTTCAAGAGACAGTAACATAGTCATGGCTATGAGATAGATTACAGCAGCCTCAGGGTCTTTTATTATAGTGGCAAAGCCAAGGAGCAGTGAAATGGAAAGTGGAGGGGCTCCCAGCAGTAGGATACTTCAGGTCACTTTTACTCATGGCCAAGCAGGAACTCATGAGAATGTGGAGTGGTTATTTAAGGCAAGAAAAGTACCTACCGTATGACAGCTTTACCAGTTAGCACTATTGAGTGATTTATTTATTTTTTAAGGAAGCAACATGAACTATTTTGCAACTGGTCTTTAATGCTAGCAATGCACAACTCCTTTAAAACCAAAGTGCTGATGACGTGTCCATTTGGTTTCTCATCTACCAACTGAAATAAATTTAAAGACTCATATCATATCTAGTAGGACATGCTTAATACCATGTGACTGTTATCCCAGCATGGATCCTTTGGTTGAGCAGTGCTGTCACGAGGTATTGGGCGGGTGGTATTCCAGAAAAGGAAAGGTCTCGGCTGGAAAAGACAGCTTCCCGCCTTCGCAAACTCCCCCTGCATGACTCTCCGTTTATTTCTCCTGTTCGTAACCGCAGGGATTTATTTAAAAAAGTCTCCCCTCCAGCGGTGGGCGTTGGCATAGCCTCCGACATAGGGACGTCCCACAGAACAGCGGAACCTTCCGGGATCCCGGCAGAAACTGGGCTGGATTCTTCTATCCCGGGAGAGAAAGGGGTGCTCGGAGGGTCTGCTTCCTCGGGCGGCTTTCCCTTCTAGCCACTCCAGCTTGGAGGGCGGAGGGAGGAGGAGGAGGAGGAGGAAGAAACGCAGCTCCGGGCTCGCCGGGCAGACCGGGCGGCGTCCCGCTTTCCCGGGGTGGTAGTTTTGGTGATCTATCTATCTTCCTTCCTTCCTTCCTTCCTTCCTTCCTTCCTTCCTTCCTTCCTTCCTTCCTTCCTTCCTTCCTTCCTTCATATATAACTGTGGTTTTTTTGGGGGGGTTATTCAAGGGAAATCTGAAAATCAGCCAGGGTGTGTGTGTATTTGGGGGGGGGGCAGGGCGTCCGCTGCCCGGATTCGGGAGCACGGGATGGAAGAGCTGGAAAGGGGAGCGTGGGTCATGTGGCCTGACCCGCCGCAAGGGAGCGATCTCGCATCTGGAACACGGTACCGAGGGCCGTACGAACCTCCCAGGAAGAAGGAGAGAAGGAGAGAAATCACCATAATAATAAATAATAAATAAATAATAAATAATAAATCATCATCATCATTTTTTATTTGTATACCGTCTTTCTACCTTACAAGACTCAAGGCGGTTTGCAAGGTGGAGAAGCAAAAAATGTACACCTGATAATCGAATTCAATAGAAAAATGTGATAATAAAAGAAAACTTTAAAATAAGCAAGCAACATCCAATAAAGTAACATTAAACCATGATTAGACTAGTCCAAGAGAATAAGATAAACATATAAAAGTTCAAGAGAAATCCATATAATATATAAAAGTTATATATCCATATAAACATATCAATCCATATAAAATCCAGAAATCCATATAAACATCTGAAAGTTAAAGAGAAATAATTTCTATACCATAGTACATCAAATTATACAATACAAATTGAGAAGCAGAGACTAGCAGCTGTGGCTCCCCAGATGTTGTTGGACTGCAACTCCCATCATTCCTAGCTAGCAAGGCCAGAGCTCAGGGATGACGGGAGTTGTAGTCCGGGGGGGGGAATCTCTTGAGCTTTGGCTTTCCGCAGCCCCCCTGTTTTGTATATTGGGGGCACATTCTATAAAGATTTACGGGGGGGGATCTCTCGAGCGGCCCCGCTGCTTTTTATATTGGGGAGCACATTTTATAAATATATTTGAGGGGCCCGAATCTCTTTAGCGGGGAGGTTTGGCTTTCCTCCACCTCTGCTTTGTATTTGGGGGGGGGCACATCCTAGGAAGATTGACGGGGTGGGGGGAACTCTTGATCGGCCCCCCCTGCTTTGTATATTGAGGGGAACATCCTATAAAGATTTTTTTGGGGGGCGGCCAATCTCTTGATTTCCTCTGCTCCCCCCCTGCGATTTCTCCAGCCCCCCACCCCCACCCCGCTTTTATCTCTCCCTCCCCCCTCTCGCCCCAAGCCCTGCCCCCCCCGACACCAAACACCGCCGCATTGGCCTGCCGCCGCCTCCTCCTCCTCCTCTCCTGCGCGCGGCCGCGCGCACGGGTGCGCGCCTGTCTTTGCAGGGGAATTTCGGCGCCGCGGACAGCGCCATTGTGCTTCAGCACCGCGGACGGGGCCGCCCCCCCCTTTTTTTTGCGGGGAGATCCGGCGGCTGTTTGCAAGGGGGTGGGCATTCAGGGACTGTGACTTTTTTGCGGGGGCGGGGGGATTCAGCACCAGGGACAGTGGCTTTTTTTGCAGGGGGGCAATTCAACACCAGGGACTGTGACGTTTTTTGCCAGCGGTGGCAATTCAGCACCAGGGACAGCGGCCTTTTGCAAAGGGCCAATTCAGCACCAGGGACAGCATCCGCCTCTGCTTCTTCCACAGGGCCGCTTCAGGACCACGGACAGACCCTCTTGCGTGGCAGTTCTCCGCCGCCTGGGGGGCCCTTGGGCTGCGCCGGGCGACGGTGGGGTGACCGCCATGCGCCTCCTGCTGCTGGCCGTGCTGCTGTGCTTCTCGGTGGCGCGGGGGGGCTGCGAGCCCAAGGTGGTGAACATCGGGGCGGTGCTGAGCACCAAGAGGCACGAGCAGGTCTTCCGCGAGGCCATCAACCAGGCCAACAAGCGCCATGGCACCTGGAAGATCCAGCTCAACGCCACCTCCGTCACCCACAAGCCCAACGCCATCCAGATGGCCCTCTCCGTCTGCGAGGACCTCATCTCCAGCCAGGTAGCCGCACCGCGCCGCCCAAGAACCGGTCGGGGGACTCCCCTTAGGGACTCCTCCTCGACGTGATGGGCCAAGCTCTTGACCTGGTGGACTGGTTGGACCCAGAAAGGACCACCCAGGGACCCCTGGATCCTGTGGACTGTGGGCTTGGGGCACCAGCATAGGGCACCCTTGTCCCTAGAGACCAAGTCCAGTCCTCAAGAATTAGCCTAGGGGCTCCTTGACCTGATGGACTGGTTGGCCCTAGAAAGGAACACCCAGGGACCCTGTGAACCAGAGGGTGGGTTTGGGCACCAACCTAGGGATCTGCGGGCCACAGAGACCGACCTTGGGACCCTACCGCCATAAGGACAAGGACCGGCCTAGGGACTTCTTGACCCTTCTAAGGGCCAGCCAACAACCCCTTGACCCTATGGACCAGCTTTTTGGCTTGGGGCACCAGCCCAGGGATACCCCCCTCTCTCCTTCTCTCCTTCTCTCCCTCCCTCTCTCCCTTTTTCTTTTTCTTTCTCTCCCTCTCTTTCTCTCTTTATTTCTCTCCCCCTCTCTCCCCTATCTTTCTCTCCCTTATTTTCTCTCCCCCCTTGCTCCCCCTCTCTTTCTCTCTTTACTTTTTCTCCTCCTCTCCCTGTCTCTGCCTACCCTCTTTCTTTCTCTCTCTCTCTCTCTCTCTCTCTCTCTCTCTCTCTCTCTTTATTTCTCTCCCTACCTTCCCCCCTTTCTCTCCCCTTTTCCTCCCTCTCTCCCCCTCTTTCTCTCTATATTTTTTCTCCTCTCTCTCTCTTTCTTTTTCTTTCTCCCCCTCTCCTTCTCTCCCTCTCTTTCCCTCTTTATTTCTTATCCTACCTCTCTCCCCTCTCTCATTCTCTCCCTCCCTCCCTCCCTCACTCTCCCCTCTCTTTTCTTTTTCTCCTTCTCTCCCGCCCTCCCTCCCTCCCTCTCTCCCTCTTACACACCCACATATTGGGACCTTAAAAATACCCCAACACAGCCCATTTCCCAAGGAACAAACCGGGTCCCCAAGTTATCAAATGGTGCTATTTTGGCCCCATTTATGTCTCATTTGGGATCTCCTTTGAAGCCACCCAAATTGCAGACCTGATCGACATTTACAGTCTTCCTTCTTTCCCCAAATGGAGCAGAAAAGGCCATTTATAGGTGAAGCCAGCAGAGGGAGGAGGAAGTTTCCATGGAAACGCCATCTCAGTTGCTTCCATAGGGTTGGTTCCTTCCATCGATTGCTCTTCGCCTCCTCACCAGACCATTTCATCATAAATAGTCCCTGGAGGGGAAATGGCATTTAGGCCTTAAATGTGCGGTTAAGGAAATCATATTATCTTGCAATCTGGCTTGGCTGACTTCTCTCTCCGCCTGTCAAAGCCTGGGCATTCGAGGACGTCCATAATTTAATGGGAGAAACGTCGGAGGGGAATGGCTTCTTGTTATTGTTGAGTTGTTTAGTCATGTCCGATTCTTTGTGACCCCATGGACCAGAGCACGCCAGGCCCTCCTGTCTTCCACTGCTTCCCACAATTTGGTCAAACTCATGTTGGTCGCTTCGAGAACACTGTCCCACCATCTTGTCCTCTGTCGTCCTCTTCTCCTTGTCCCCTCCATCTTTCCCAACATCAGGGTCTTTTCCAGGGAGTCTTCTCTTCTCATGAGGTGGCCAAAGTCTTGGAGCCTCAGCTTCACAATCTGTCCTTCCAGTGAGCACTCAGGGCTGATTTCCTTCAGAATGGAGAAGTTTGATCTTCTTGCAGTCCATGGGACTCTCCAGAGTCTCCTCCAGCACCAGAATTCAAAAGCATCCATTCTTTGGCGATCAGCCTTCTTGATGGTCCAGCTCTCACTTCCATACATCACTAGTGGGAAAACCATAGCTTGAACTATATGAATCTTTGTCAGCAAGGTGATAGGACATCCATAATTTCATGGGAGAAATGTCGGAGGGGATAGTAGGATGTCCATATTTTCATGGGAGAAACGTCAGAGGGGATGGTAGAACGTCCATAATTTCATGGGAGAAACGTCGGAGGGGAATGTTAGGACGTCCGTAATTCCATGGGGAAAACGTCTCTCCCACAGGTCTACGCCATCTTGGTGAGTCACCCGCCGGCTCCCAACGACCACCTCACGCCGACGCCGGTGTCATACACTGCTGGCTTCTACCGGATCCCGGTCATCGGCTTGACCACGCGCATGTCCATCTACTCAGACAAGGTAAGCCCACAGCTCCCGCTGGTCGGGACCCGCCATTCTCCTGGACATCTGGCGGGAGAAGGCCTTGACTTCTCCGCTGCCCGGTTCCCCGCCACTTCGCTTCTTGCTTGGAGACCCTCCTTGCTCGGAGACCCACCAGGAGACCCTCGGAGATGGACCCTGGTGAGTCCAAAATGGCTGGTCCATTAGAGGCATGGTGACTCCATATCAGACCATGCCTGGTGCCCCATGCTCCTCAGAAACAGCCATTCGTTCTTCTCAGGAGTCGACGTCTGTCTGTCTTCCGAGCTCCTCCAGACCCACACCACCTTCACTGGTTGAAAGGACACTGGGTATCTTTCCCATACTGGTGAGCGCCCAGCCCAAACCTTCTGGTGGAAAGGTAGAGCTTTGTATCTTCCCCATACTGGTGGATACCCAGCTCAAACCTTCTGGAGATCTTTCCCATTGGCTTCCTAAAGAGGCCCTTCCACTGCGCAGGAGGGCCGTTGTCCACAATGGTTCCCAGGTCCCCTTCCAAGGTAGCCCCATGGAGAAAGCAGGGCAGTAGACCAAGCAGATGGCTAGGTCTTGGATGGAGCTGGTACTAGAGATGTTCTTCCACCCCAGGGGAGGGATGTTCCTCAATCTCATCTCCAAGTCACCTTCCCATGGAGACAGCAGGAGATGAGCAGAGGATGGACCTCTCTGGAGAAGCAGGTGGGGTCTCAAGATGGAAGACCTCAAGAGGCTCTTTCCACCCCATAGGAGGGACATTGCCCCAACTCCTTTCTAGGTCCCCTTCCAAGGTAGCCCCATGGAGATGAGCAGGAGCATGGACCTCTCTGCAGAGGCAGGTGGGGTCTCAAGATGGAACTTCTCCAGAGGCTCCTTCCACCCCGTAGGAGGGATGGCGCTTAAACCCGGATGCCCCCGCCTGGTCCGCAGTGACGCCCCCTCTGGCTCCTTCTCTCCCCAGAGCATCCACCTTTCATTCCTCCGCACGGTCCCTCCTTACTCTCACCAGTCCAATGTCTGGTTTGAGATGATGCGCTTCTACAAATGGAACCACATCATCCTCATTGTCAGCGACGACCACGAGGGCCGGGCGGCCCAGAAGAAGCTGGAGACCCTCCTGGAGGAGAAAGAGTCCAAGGTCAGTAGCTTCCCGCCACCCACGCTTCTCTCGAAAGTCTCGCGCTTTGTCGTCCGTGTGTAGATTGACATCTGTAAATACACCTTCTCTCTCTTCTTCCCATTGTTAAACATGACCCACATTGTGCTCTTAAGCGCCGGCCGTCTAAGTCCCTGACCAAAGTTTGTTACTCTTTATTCATTTCACTTGCTTTGCCATGGTCGAAAAAAACCGAACTCTCCGACTACGTTTAAAAAAATGAAATCCGAAAGAGGCAAAAACGGGGAGACGGGGGCGGGACGTAACCTGGAGCTGGGCCAAAAACCCGTTTCCTTATTGGAAGAGAGCGTCTAGGAGAGTAGGCTTGGATCATGGACTTGGGAAGGACCTGGAATGGTTGTCTGGTTCAACCAAGGCAGGAACCTCAAGATGGAATCATAGAGTTGGGAAGGAGCCCCAAGAGTGACTTGTGAGGCAGGGATAGGCAGCTCCCTTTACCTGCTTCCTTCCTTTTTTCCATAGAAGCTCATGGTCAACACAACAATCTGATCAGTCATAATGGTCATAATTTTGTCTATACCCCCACCCATCAGACTGGGTTGGCCCAGATGCTCCAACATCTAGAAGAACACCATAAAAGGTCCAATCGTCCACAACTTCCCCAATCGCAGCTTCTCCTGAAGGTCCAATTCCTTCTCTCCTGGGTTGGAGGCCCGCGTGGCTCCACCCCCTCCAACATTTCTCCAGCGGAAGTGGCAGAGGGGGGCTTTGAAGCCGAGCCTCCTTGGCGCGTGGTGTGAGCGGTGGCCCCACGTCGGCCAAGTCGACATATATGGGAAGCCTTCCTAGATCAGACCAAAGGCAGGACATCCAGTCCATGGTCCTCTTCTCGGTGGCCGTCAAGAATCCTGCAAGGAGGAAGGAGCTGAGGGTGGCGGCCTTGCCCCCGCTTTTCACTCCAAGCGGCCAGCATTCAGAGGTCTACCAACATTTGGGAAGAGGGACAACCCACCATCCCCTCCAACATTTCTCCCATGAAAATGTCCAGCTGCCCTCAGAAACTCGCAAGGTACCTTCCCCGATTTAAAGGAGAGAGGAAGAACTTGCATGAACCCCCAAGGAAACTTCCTAGGACACCCCCATAGGAGATCTTGTAGGAAACTTCTTAGGAAACTTTGTAGGAAATTTAATAGGAAACCCCTATAGGAAACTTTGTAGGAAAACCCCATAGAAAACCTGGTCAGGAACCCCCATTGGAAATGTCTTAAGAAACACCCTTAGTAACCCCCATAGGAAACCTTGTAGGAAACTTAATAGGAAACTTTGCAGGAAACTTAATAGGAAACTTTGTAGGAAAGTTTCTAGGAAACTTAATAGGAAACTTTGTTGGAAAATTTGTAGGAAATTTAATAGGAAACTTTGTAGTAACTTAATAGGAAACTTTGCAGGAAACTGAATAGAAAAGCTTGTAGGGGTTTTTCCCCGCTCCTCTGTTACGCCCCCCCGCCCCGGATCAGGAGGAGTTGGATATGGGATTTGCTTTGAGTGCCCGTCTTTCTTCTTTCAACTGTTTATAATCTTCTTCTGTGTCTGCATATTTTCTCTGTGCACATTATCCATCAGAGTAAAAAAAGGAGCTTTGACAGCCTCGAACCGCTATCCTTTGACATCAAGCGAGGACCCAAGGTATATTTGCATGGAAATGCACGCCGCCCACCAACCTAACGAGCAAAAAAATTAAAATAAAAAATTCATAAAATTCATCAATCGGGCCGCCTCGGCCCACGGGCACCCCACAAAAAATTAGAATAAATTTTAGATATATATAGATATATATATATATATATTAAAGGGAAAAAATATAAAAATATCTCTGGAGCCAGCAAGCAGACTCCATGTTTTTTTTTTTGGGTCGCACGTTCTTTTCCGTTGAGATATGCTTGGTTTAAGCTTGAGTTTGAGGAGCAATCCCATCCTGGACGTCTTTCTTCGGAAGACCATGCATGTGGAGCCAGAGCGAATTTGCGAGTTTATTCCCCCCCCCTTGTTTCCCCCTGGACCATCTGATTCCCCCTTCCTGTTCTCCTCTTCCTGCTCTGCCCCTTCCTGTCCCAACAGGAAATGCGAGATGCTCACTTCGATTCCCTTGCAAGGCGGACCCCTTGCGTGTTTTCCCCCTCCCCCTTCCTCCTCTTTTCCTGTTTTTTATTATTATTATTATTTTGTTTTTTGGAAAAGCAACAGGCGTTTGAGCGGTCAACTGCATCGCAAAACCAGCCAGCCAACCAATATATGGATATTCGCAGTTGCCGCCTGAGGGGCTCCCTTGCCGTCGCAAAGATGGCGATGACAGAGCAAAAAAGGCAGGTCGGCAATTTCCGAGATGGCAGGGATTCTGCAGAATTGAAAAAAAAAATATTGCAAATTTTGCAAGATTTTTTTCCCCCCAAAAACCAAATAGCGAGAAATCAATTTGCCACGGTGGGTGGAATCACTTTGGCGGCCGCTGTGTATCTCTATATATGCCTTTTTTTCCTCTTTCCTGTACCAATGCACGACCTTCTTTTGGGGCTGGAGTGACTTCTGTTTGCATGCCCAGTGCAACAACAAAGAAAAATGATTCTTTTTTTAAAATAGAAAATAAAATAAAAAATTAGATTTTTATTTTTTTAAGGGGGTGGGGAGGAAATTAACCCCAGCAGGAGAAAAGAAAAGAAAAGAAAGAACGGGGGAGGAGAAAAAAAAACCGAGGAAAAGAAATGAGGAACAACTGAGTCCTTTCCAGGTAGACCTTGGAAAGAGAGAAGGAAGTATCTTTCTGAGGAAAGCATGGCTCTCGCATGGGGGATCGGGGCCCAGCCGACTGACCCCATTTGCTCGCGCCAACCTTGCAGGCCGAGAAGGTCCTTCAGTTTGAGCCGGGCACCAAGAACGTGACGTCTCTCCTCCTGGAAGCCAAGGAACTGGAGGCCAGGGTGATCATCTTGTCTGCCAGGTGAGGGCCGGCCGGTGGGGCGGGGTTGGGGTCAGGTGAGTGGAGGCGACCCCCGTTTTCCCCCGTTCAAACTTCTCCGACGTTTGCCTCTGAGGTTTCTCCCATGAAAACAGGGACCTCCGATTCCATCCCTTCCAGAATTTATCCCATGAAAATAGGGACTTCTACCATCCCCTCTGATGTTCCTACCATGAAGATATGGACGTCCGACCATCCCCTCTGACGTTTCTCTCATGAAACTATGGACCTCCTATTCCATTCTTCTAGATTTCATCCCATGGAAATATAGGACTTCCTACCACCCCTCTGACGTTTCTCCCATGAAATTAGGGACCTTCTATTTCATCCTTTCCAGAATTTATCCCATGAAAATATGGACTTCCACCATTGCCTCTGACATTTATCCCATGAAAATAGGGACGTCCTATTCCATCCTTTCCAGAATTCATCCCACGAAAATAGGGACGTCCTAGCATCCCCTCCGACGTTTCTCCCATGAAATTATGGATGTCCTACCACCCACTCTGACATTTATCCCATCAAAATGCTGACGTCCTACCATCCCCTCTGATATTTATCCCAAGGAAATAGGGACCTCCTATTCCATCCCCTCCGCCGTTTCTCCCACCAAAATATGAACGTCTTACCATTCCAACAGCCTTCTTCTCTTTCTCCAGTGAGGACGACGCCACCACCGTCTACACGGCCGCAGCCAAAGAAAACATGACAGGTCCCGGCTACGTCTGGCTGGTGGGGGAACGGGAGATCTCCGGCAATGCCCTACGCAATGCGCCAGAAGGTAACCTGGGACCCTCCCCATGGTCCAGCTGCCCCATGGTTGATCGCCCAGCGGTGCTCTCCTTCCCTTCTCTAAATCCATTCGGAAGTCTCCGCCCCACAGCGAGTTCACCTGGATTACCTCCGGGGTCCCAGCCAACCTAGTTGTCTATCTTCACCCCCACCCCACCCCCATCCCAGGTCTCATCGGTCTACAACTCATGAACGGCAAAAATGAGTCGGCTCACATCCGGGACGCGGTGGCCATGGTGGCCCAGGCAGTCCACAACTTGTTTGAGAAGGAGAACATCACCGACCCACCCAGGGGGTGCGTGGGGAACACCAACATCTGGAAGACGGGGCCACTCTTCAAGAGGTAAGAGCGTCCCAGGCACCTCGGACCTGGGTTCTTTATGGAGGGGGTGGTGGGATGTCTGTAATTTCATGGGAGAAACGTCAGAGGGGATGGTAGGATGTCCGTATTTTCATGGGATGAATGTTGGAGATGATGGTACGATGTCATAATTTGGTGGGATAAATGTCAGAAGGGGTGGTAGGGTGTCCATAATTTTGTGGGAGAAATGTCAGAAGAAGTGATAGGACATCTGTAATTTCATGGGAGAAATGTCAGAGGGGATGGTAGGACGTCCGTAATTTCGTGGGAGACATTTCCATCCCTCCGCATCCCGATCAACCTGCCTTCTCCCCAGGGTACTGATGCAGACGAAGTACGCCGAGGGTGTGACGGGCCGGGTGGAGTTCAACGAGGACGGGGACCGCAAGTACGCCAACTACAGCGTCATGAACCTGCAGAACAACAAGTTGGTGCAGGTCGGCGTCTACAACGGCAGCCACGTAAGTATCCCTGGATGGGAGGGCCCTGCCTGGCCTGACCCCCTTCAGGGGTCCAGATTCTGACTCTATGGTCATTTATCAGGGAAGGCTGGTAGAGAAGGTCTGGTCCCAACCTTTCTCTCCTCACCTCCGCAGTTCCTGCCCAACGACCGCAAGATCATCTGGCCGGGAGGAGAAACCGAGACGCCCCAGGGCTACGAGATGTCTACCAAGCTCAAGGTATCATCTCTGCTCCACCTCCCTCCCTCACTAATGTCAGCCTGGTGAGGAACAGTTGAAGGAGCTGGAGAAGAGGAGAGCAAGAGATATGAGAGCCACCTTCAAACATCTCAAGATGATTGAGGGTCTGGAAGCCAAGCCTTAGGGGGAACAGTCAAAGGAGATGGCTCTTTTTAGCCCAGAAAAGGGGAGGCTGAGAGGAGATGTTAGGGCCACTTTCGAAGATCTCAAGATGATTGAGGGTCTAGAAGCCCAGCCTTAGGAGGAACGGTTGAAGGAGATGGAGAAGAGGAGATATGGGAGCCACCTTCAAACATCTCAGGATGATGGCGGGTCTAGAAGCTCAGCTTTAGGAGGAATGGTTGAAGGAGATGGAGAAGAGAAGACCAAGGAGATATGAGAGCCATCTTCAAACATCTCAAGATGTTTGAGGGTCTAGAAGCTGAGTCTTAGAGGAAAGGTTGAAGGAGATGGCTCTCTTTACCCCAGAAAAGAGGAGGCTGAGAGGAGATGATAGGGCCATCTTCAAACATCTCAAGATGTTTGAGGTCTAGAAGCTGAGCCTTAGGAGGAACGGTTAGGAACTTCGGAGGAGATGGAGAAGAGGAGACCAAGGAGATATGGGAACCACTTTCAAACATCTTAAGATGGTTGAGGGTCTAGAAGCTCAACCTTAGCAGAAACGTTTGAAGGAGATGGCTCTCTTTAGCTCAGAAAAGAGGAGGCTGAGAAGAGATGTTAGGGCCATCTTCAAACATCTCAAGATGACGGAGGGTCCCTTGGGAGGAACAGTTGAAGGAGATGGCTCTCTTTAGAGCCAAACATCTCAAGATGATTGAGGGTCCAGAAGCCGAGCCTTCGGAGGAATGGCCGAAGGAGATAGGAACACTCAGTCTGAGGATGAGGAGATATGAGAGCCGTCTTCAAATATCTCCAGGGCTTTCGCCTGGAAGAAAGAACAAGTCCTCCCACTCCAGAGGGTAGGACTTGAACCCGTGGCTTCCAGCTCCAAGAAAGGAGAGCCCGGCCTGACGTCCAGGAAGCCGGCTCTCCTTCCTTGGAGTCCCGGGTGCCTCAGTGGAAATCGTTGCACCTCAGGGGGGGTTGGTCTAGATGACCATGGAGCCCCTTCCATCTCAACCACTTATGAATTCCATGTTGGCATCCCTGCGTCCAACTCTCCCCTTCCAGGAGAAGGCAGCAGAGGGGTTGAGAAGCCGATTTGGCTGGGAAGAGGACGGTGATCCATCTTCTCACTTTTTGTGGGGCTGTTCCCCTCCCCCAGATTGTCACCATTCACCAGGAGCCGTTCGTCTATGTCAAGGAGACCCTGGCCGACGGCAAGTGCAAAGCCCTCACCAACAGCACCGGCGGCTTGGTGCAGCAGGTCCTCTGTACGGGGCCCAACAAGACCATGCCGGGTACGTCTCGAACCCAAAGCGGGGGCATCAGGTCAGAATCTCCCCCACCAAGCGTCTCCATTGGGCGGCAGGCGTCTCTCCTTCTTGGGAGGGTCTGCACTGCATGGTGGAGATGAGATCCTCTTAGTCTAGACCAGGCCTCCTCCAGATGTGGTTGGCCTACACCTCCCATGATCCTTAGCCAGCTGGACCGGTGGTCAGGAACAATGGGGAGGTCCGTCCCCGTTGATCAAGCCTGAAGAACTGGATCGCTTCCTGATCGTATATGGAACGGAACCACCTGAAGGGCCGAGGTGGAGGAAGCCTGGTTCAGATTATCTCTTCCACATACGACCAGGAAGGAATCCAGCTCAGCAGGCCGGGAACAAAACGGATTGACGGGGAACGGGTCGGAAGCCATCCACATTGTCCTAACGGGGCCCGGTCAAATGCCATCTCCTCGTCGGAAGGGCATGGAGGTGAGTGATTGAGAAGGTCCTCTCCGTTGGGGACCTTCTGGAATGGGCCTCAATGGTCCCCCTTTCTCCTGCCCCACCAGGCCGCCCCAGCGTGATGCTCTGCTGCTATGGCTTCTGCGTCGACCTCCTGATCAAGCTGGCCAAGACCATGAACTTCACTTACGAGGTCCACCTGGTGGGCGACGGGAAGTTTGGCACGCAGGAGAGGGTGAGCGGGCCTCGGGAAGGCTGGACGGGCCACCCTCCAACTTCTCTGAAGACCTCTGAGGGTACAGCCCCTTGGCCGGGGACGGACAGACGCCGTCCTGTTGAGAAAGGGGATCTGTGGGAAGTCGTTCCTGGAACGGTTGGCCGTACCCATTGGCTTTCCGCCCACACTGGGGTGACCTGAGGAACCTTCAGGAGAGGCCTGGAGGGTTGTCCATTCGTGAACTTGCTTCCCATAGCTTCTTCCTGCTATCCCCTTTGACATTTGTTCCATGAAAATATGGACGTCCTACCATCCCCTCTGAGGTTCTTCCCATGAAATTATGGACGTCCTACCACTCTTTCTGACGTTCGTTCCATGAAATTATGGACGTCCTACCACGCTTTCTGATGTTCTTCCCATGAAATTATGGACTTCCTACCATCCCCTTTGACGTTCATCCCATGAAAATACGGACGTCCTACCATCATCTCCCACATTCATCCCATGAAATTATGGACGTTCTACCATCACCTCCCACATCCATCCCATGAAATTACGGACGTTCTACCATCATCTCCCACATTCATCCCACGAAAATACAGACGTTCTACCATCATCACCGATGCTCATCCCATGGAAATATGGACCTCCTTGCCCTTCTCACCCTGGCTCTGTCTCAACACAGGTGAACAACAGCAACAAGAAGGAGTGGAACGGCATGATGGGGGAGCTCTTGAGTGGTCAGGCGGACATGATCGTGGCTCCTTTGACCATCAACAACGAGCGGGCCCAGTACATTGAGTTCTCCAAGCCCTTTAAGTACCAGGGACTCACCATCCTGGTGAAGAAGGTGGGTAGACATGGCCAATGACCACTAGGCATCACTGTGCCCTCCAGAGGGCTTGGTCCGCAGAGGTGGCCACGCTCTGCTTTGGTCAAGCCGTTCCCGTTGTCCATCTCCTTCCCTTTGCAAAGTCCCGATGGAATTTCTTGTGAATATAATATAATATAATCAGCATCCATTCAAAGCCACCCATATATGACATCAAGGTCCATCCTTGAAAGGCCTGGGGAGAAGAAGAGGAGAACCGTTCTCTTGCCGCGATCTCCTCAACCTTTGTGAGGAACCCTAAGTAGCCCCTGCCGGGGTCTTCCACCGGCTGCTGACGCCCACTTCCGGTTCTCCGTTGCAGGAAATACCCCGCAGCACCTTGGACTCGTTCATGCAGCCGTTCCAGAGCACCCTGTGGCTCCTGGTGGGCCTCTCGGTCCACGTGGTGGCTGTGATGCTCTATCTCCTGGACCGTTTCAGGTAACTGCGGCCACCCCTTGGTCTTCCTGGTCTTCTCCACCACTTCCTCCTCCTCCTCCCTCTACCCCTTGGTCTTCCTGGTCTCCTCCTCCTCCTTCCTCCTCCTTTCTCCTTCCTTCTCCTCCTCCCACTCCTCCCGCTCCTCCTCCTCCCTCCTCCTCCTTTCTTCCTCCTCCTACTTCTCATCCCTCTACCCCTCCTTCTACCCCTTGGTCTTCCTGGTCTCCTCCTCCTCCTCCCTCCTCCTCCTTTCTTCTTAATTCTCCTCCTCCCTCTCCCCTCCTCCTCCCTTCTCCTCTTTTCTTCCTCCTCCCCCTCCCCTCCTCCTCCTCATCCCTCTAACCCTTCCTTTTTTTAAAAAAAAAATTTTATTGGTTTTACAAAATTTTAAAAATAAACAAACACTTAAAAACAAACAAAAACAAAAAGAAAAAAAACCATACAAACACGCATAATTTCATATTGTTTCTCATAACCCTCTTTTCTCAGACTCCCCCATACCCCCCCCTTTCTGCATCCCAATGTCCATAGTTTTATAGCAACCCCCAATATTACTTTCCAACCTCTGTCCTTAGTTATCTCCATAATCTGACCTTATATCACTGTATCCCTTTGTTTCTGAAAACCATAACATTCTAACATTCATCAAGTTTATAATAGTCCTTAAGATAACTTTTAAATTTTCTCCATTCTTCTTCCGCCGTCTCTTTTCCTTGATCACGTATTCTGCCTGTCATCTCAGCCAATGACATATAGTCCATCATTTTCATCTGCCATTCTTCCAGAGTGGGTAAATCTTGTGTCTTCCAATACTTTGCGATAAGTATTCTTGCTGCTGTTGTAGCGTACATAAAAAAAGTTCTATCCCTCTTTGGCACCAATTGGCCGACAATGCCCAAGAGAAAGGCCTCTGGTTTTTTAGAGAAGGTACTTTTAAGTACCTTTTTCATTTCATTATAGATCATTTCCCAGAAAGCCTTAATCTTCGGGCATGTCCACCAAAGGTGATAGAAGGTACCTTCAGTCTCTTTACATTTCCAACATTTGTTATCGGGCAAATGGTAAATTTTTGCAAGCTTGGCTGGGGTCATGTACCACCTGTAAATCATTTTCATTATGTTTTCTCTTAAGGCATTACATGCCGTAAACTTAACACCGGTCGTCCATAACTGTTCCCAGTCAGCAAACATAATGTCATGACCAATATCTTGTGCCCATTTAATCATAGCTGATTTCACCGTTTCATCCTGTGTATTCCATTTCAACAACAAGTTATACATTCTTGATAAATTCTTAGTATTGGGTTCTAGCAGTTCAATCTCTAGTTTTGATTTTTCCACCTGAAAACCAATTTTCCTATCCTGTTTGAAAAGCTCCATTATTTGATAATATTGAAGCCAGTTTTGTACTTTATGTTTCAATTTGTCATAGCTTTGTAATTTCCACTTCTCTCCATCCTGTTCCAAAATTTCCCAATACTTCGGCCATCCGACCTCCCATCCCTCTAACCCTTCCTCTACCCTTGGTCTTCCTGGTCTCCTCCTCCTCCACCTCCCTTCTCCTCCACCTCTTTCCTCTGCCCCTTGGCCTTCCTGGTCTCCTCCTCCTCCCTCTAGCTCATGGTCTTCCTGGCCTCCTCCTCCCCCTCTACGCCTCTTTCCTCTACCCCTTGGTCTTCCTGGTCTGCTCCTCCTCCTCCCAGAGGAGCAAGGAAAGTTATCCAGCTTTGCTTCCTCCCATCCATGAATGGGGGCAGGGACAAGGAACTGGACGGGCTGTTCCTCAAGACGTCACCAAATTACGTACCCATCAATGATGCAAAGGGACCTCTGTCCACTGACTTTGCATCACTTATTCCATCTGCGAATGACATGAGGGAAACCGAGGAGTCCTCAAAGTTCTGTCCTCTGCCCACCCTGGACTTCTGGAGTTCCTCGCACCCATGAGGTCCAGAAGCTTCTTTCCATGGGGCATCTTCTAAGACCTGCTCCTCGACAGACAGCTGACCGCTGGCCCCACTTGTTCTCTTGCAGCCCCTTCGGCCGCTTCAAAGTCAACAGTGAGGAAGAGGAAGAGGATGCCCTCACCCTGTCATCAGCCATGTGGTTCTCCTGGGGAGTCTTGCTCAACTCTGGCATCGGAGAAGGTGAGTCTCTCCAGTGGGAACGATCTGGATGGGTCCGTCCGTAAGAGGCTGCAAAGCAAAGGCTGGTGCCACCAACCCCATCTCATCTTCTCCGATATTTCTCCCATGAAAATAGGGAGGTCCCACCATCCCCTTTGACATGGATGAAAATAGGGAGGTCCTACCATCCCCTTTGACCTTGATGAAAACAGGAAGGTCCTAACACCCCCTTTGACAGTGATGAAAATATGGACGTCCTACCATCCTCTTTGACATTGATATGGGGTCCTACCATCTCGTTTGACATTGATGAAAATATGGACGTCCTACCATCTTCTCCGACCTCTGTCATTTCTCCCACGAGAATAGGGACGTCCAACTCAGCTTCTTCCCCTCTGGGTTCTTCCCCAGTTAGATGGTCTTCTCAAGGGGTGACACTAGAGAGCTTGGGTGAGGTCTATCTCCCCAGGGTTTCGGTCCTTCAGATGCTTGAGGACCATCCCGAGCTGCCCTATCTCTTCCAGGCGCTCCCCGGAGCTTCTCCGCACGGATCCTGGGCATGGTGTGGGCTGGATTCGCCATGATCATCGTGGCCTCTTACACTGCCAACCTGGCGGCCTTCCTGGTGTTGGACAGACCTGAGGAACGGATCACGGGCATCAATGATCCCAGGGTAAGCATGGAAGGAGAACACCAAGCCTCTGACATGTCTCCTATGAGAATATGGATGTCCTACCATCTTCTCTAACACTTATCCCATGAGAATAGGGACGTCCTACCATCCCCTCTAGCATTTCTCCCATGAAATTATGGACGTCCTACCACCCCTTCTGACATTTATCCCATGAAAATGTGGACGTTCTACCACCCCTTCTGATGTTTCTCCCACCAAAATACGGATGTCCTACCTTCCCCTCTCCCAGCTGCGCAACCCGTCTGACAAATTCATCTACGCCACAGTCAAGCAGAGCTCGGTGGACATCTACTTCCGCCGGCAGGTGGAGCTCAGCACCATGTACCGCCACATGGAGAAGCATAACTATGAAAGCGCCGCCGAAGCCATCCAGGCCGTCCGGGACAAGTGAGTTGGACTCCTTTGACTTTTACGGGCGGGTGGGCTGGGAGGACATGGGGGACCAATGGGGAAAGAGGCGTTGGATTATGGGATTCCATTTTTATTTTTCGGCCAGTTAATTTCCATGAATTTCGACCAATTAGCAACCCACTGATTTGAAGCCAATGCAAAGGCAAATAATTTTTGCGTGAATTTGGGTGGGATTTATAAGAAATTCAGCTGGGATTTCTAAGAAATTTTGCTGGGATTTCTAAGAAATTCTGCTGGGACTTCTAAGAAATTTAGGTGAGATTTATAAGAAATTTGGCTGGGGTTTCTAAGAAATTCTGCTGGGATTCCTAAGAAATATGGCTGGGATTTCTAAGAAATGGTTTGGCTGGGATTTCTAAGAAATTCTGCTGGGATTTCTAAGAAATTGTTTGACTGGGATATCTCAGAAATGTTTGCTGGGTTTCTAAGAAATTTTCCTGGGATTTCAGAGAAATGTTTTGCAGGAATTGCTAATAAATCGTTTTGCAGAAATATATAAGACATTTTACTGGGATTTCTAAGAAAATGTTTGGCTGGGATTTCTAAGAAATAGTTTGGCTGGGATTTCTAATCAATGGTTTTGCTGGGTTTCTCGTAAATTTTTCAATCTAATCAATGGTTTGGCAGGAATTCCAAAAGAAAGGTTTGGTGGGATTTCTCAGAAATACTTGGGCAGGAATTTCTCAGAAATGGTTTGGCAGGAATTTCTCAGAAATGGTTTGGCAGGAATTTCTAAGAAAAGGTTTTGTGGGAATATCTCAGGAAAGGTTTGGCGGGTATTTCTCAGGAAAGGTTTGGCAGGAATTTCTCAGGAATGAATTTGCCGGGATTTCTGATCCTTTCCTTTCGGGACCGCTTCATACTGCGAAAATCCTCCATCAGAAGAGGGGGAGGGAAGGCTTCTGGAATTTGCCAGGAGAGCTGAAGTCAACCCCCTTTTCCCGGTTACTGTTCCCACTTGTGTCTCCACCCAGCAAGCTCCACGCCTTCATCTGGGACTCGGCCGTCCTGGAGTTCGAAGCCTCCCAGAAGTGCGACCTGGTGACCACTGGAGAACTCTTCTTCCGGTCTGGATTCGGAATCGGAATGAGGAAGGACAGTCCCTGGAAGCAGAACGTCTCGCTGGCCATCCTCAAGTCCGTACCCTCTCCCCTGCCCACGGGAATGATCCAGGGAAGGGGGTTGGGGTTGGGCGGAGAACACCAGATCCTCCGAGCATCCCGGATCGATCCCGGAACTTCCCTTTCCCACTCCGGAGGAGAAACACAAGAGGACCTCTTTTCACGGGATAAAGGTCCAGGCATCTCCTCTGGGGGAAATCGGGAAAATAGGATATCCAGGGTTCGAACCGGAAAGCTGCCGGCCCCTCTAATGTTCCTCGCCCCCCAAAATCGGGATGTTCTGGGATTGAACCCAGAAGCATCAAAGAGGGAGTCCGGATGGGCCTGACCTCCTCTGGGTCTGTCAAAGATGGCCGAGGAGCCTTCTTGGTCCAAGTTGGTCTCCTGGAGGACTCCCTTGGCCTTTCCTGGGACTCCCTTGGGTCCCCGTAAGAGATTTGAGGGTTGCGGGGCGGGGCTTCACCTGGCCTCCCGCCCCATCCCCCCAATCCATATTTTATTCAAGATGGCGGGACTCCCCGCTTCAGCTCTCTCCTCCCATCCCACAGCCTCCACGAAAATGGCTTCATGGAAGAGCTGGACAAGACGTGGGTAAGGTACCAGGAGTGCGACTCAAGGAGTAATGCCCCGGCCACCCTCACCTTTGAGAACATGGCAGGTGGGTTCCTGGACCTCCCCGTTCCCCCTGGAGCTCCCTTCCCTCAGGGGTCGGAGAAGAAGGGGCACGAGGGACACCCCCACCACCCCCGGGGGTCATCCAGTCCAACCCAAGGCAAGGCACAAAATGTCCAGTGCTTAGCCCGGTTCTTAAGAATAAGACTATTGAGATGACGGTGATGGTGATGGATGATGGGCCTTAGTTTGCCTACCCATCATCCAGTGCTTAGCCCAGCTCTTATGAATCAAAATATTGAGATGGTGGTGGTGGTGATGGATGATGCTGATGGGTGCTTAGCCAGGCTCTTAAGAATAAGACTATTGAGATGATAGTGGTGGTGGTGGGTGGATGATGGATGATGATGATGATGAGTGCCAAACTTAGATTCACATTATTATTATTATTAGTTATATATATTGCTGTTATTGTTTCTATTGCCATTTCTAACTACTACTGCTACCACCACCACCACCATCATTTGCAAGTATCCCTATCCCTATCGCTATCCTCCTTCTTACAATTGTCATTTGTGATTCCTATTCTTATTCCGGATCCCCATTGTTATTACTATCACGACGATTGCCGCCATGATTACAATTCTCACTCTGCTTCCTGGACAACCCTCGACTGTGGTGGCGGTGTGTGTGTGCGCTTCTTTCGACCCCGGCTCTCTGACCCTTCTCCCTCCCGCGTTTCAACCCCCCCAGGCGTCTTCATGCTGGTGGCTGGCGGGATCGTTGCCGGAATCTTCCTGATCTTCATCGAAATCGCCTACAAGAGGCACAAGGATGCCCGACGGAAGCAGATGCAGTTGGCCTTTGCCGCCGTCAACGTCTGGAGGAAGAACCTACAGGTAGGAAGAGGCCATTTTTGGGGGGAGAAGAGACCACGGCGGGGGGCAGGTAACCCACAAAACCGCCGGAAAAAACAGCAAAACAAGTGGGACGTCTTTGAATTTCCATTTTTTAATTTGGAGGTCCTTTTCCATTTCCCATTCCTTCACCCCAACAGTCACTACGGTGCCGAAGGGGAGTAGAATTAAGGGGACGCCCTCTCCGTGGCTCCCACTTATGGGGTGGGGGAACCCCATAAGAGTCGCTCCTTCCAAGAGGGCGGAGGGTTGGTTTGGATGACCCCTGGGGGACCCCACTGCCCCACTCATCCTGGGAAGGCCTTTGAGGGGCCCCTACCCTCCTAAATAGGGGGGCAAATGCCCCAATGGAAATAGGGGCATCCTATTTGATCCCCTACAATGGGAATAGGGACGTCCTATTAAATCCCATACAATGGGAATAGGGGCGTCCTATTAAATCCCCTATAATGAAATAGGGGCATCTCATTCGATCCCCAATAATGAAATAGGGGTTTTCTATTCAATCCCATATAATGGGAATACGGGCATCCTATTAAATCCCCTGCAATGCAAATAGGGGCGTCCTATTTGATCCCCTATAATGAAATAAGGTAAAGGTAAAGGTACCCCTGCCCGTACAGTCCAGTCTTGACAGACTCTAGGGTTGTGCGCCCATCTCACTCAAGAGGCCAGGGGCCAGCGCTGTCCGGAGACACTTCTGGGTCACGTGGCCAGCATGACATCGCTGCTCTGGCGAGCCAGAGCTGCACACGGAAACGCCGTTTACCTTCCCGCTAGTAAGCAGTCCCTATTTATCTACTTGCACCCAGGAGTGCTTTTGAACTGCTAGGTTGGCAGGCGCTGGGACCGAACAACGGGAGCTCACCCCGCCGCGGGGATTCGAACTGCCGACCTTTCAATCGGCAAGCCCTAGGCGCTGAGGCTTTTACCCACAGCGCCACCCGCGTCCCTTATAATGAAATAGGGGTGTCCTATTCAATCCCCAACAATGGGAATAAGGACGTCCTATTAAATTCCCTACAATGGGAATAGGGTCGTCCTGTCAATCGGGGTCTGTCCATCCCTGCGTCCTGCCCCCTCCGCTGCCCAAACGAGGCAGGCTCGAATTTTGTAGGGCATCACGAGTGCAATTGTCACTGCCATTTTTCACTTGCCAACTTTCTAGAGAGGAGAAACGCTTCCCTGGGTTGACGGCGGGTCCGGTCCGGGGTTTGGGGTTTGGCTGAGATGTGGGGTGGGGGTCCAGGATTTTTTGGGTGGGGGCCATCCCACCCCACCCCACGGCCGACGAGGAAAGCCGACGTTCCGGAGATCCGTTTGACAATGTAAGACTTTTCCGCAGGAGGAACCCTCCGGCCACTAGTACAATGCTAGAAGGTAGGCGAGCGGGAAGATTTCTTTGTTCAATAAATACCAATTTTTTTAAAAAAAAGTCAAATAAAAAATCAAAATATGACCAATATATATATATACACACACACACACACACACATACACACACATGCATACATACATACATACATATACATATACATATACATATTATATATAATATATGTTTATGTATATATATATATATAATTTATAGAAGTCTATATATTACATATGTGTGTGTGTGTGTGTGTCTATTCAATAAGATCAGAATATGACCAAACATATATAAAATATTATTTATATATGTATATAAATAATATATATATAATTTATATATGCGTATATAATATATAAGACATATAAGTATATAATGCATATAATATATATATAATGTATATATGTATATACGTATATGTATATGTATGTGTGTGTGTGTGTGTATATATATACATACACACACACACGCACACAGGTGTTTCTTTTCAAGTTATTATTTGAAATCATGGGCGGGGTAGAAATAATAAATTATTACTATTATTATTATTTGGTTTTGGTCACTCTTCGGCCATGGCGCAACGCCGTGGCAAGCCATGTGCTGATACCTCTGGATCAATATATGTAAATATATATATATATTTATATGTGGGTATCTCCCTATCTATATATATTTAGATATGGATCTTCATCCATTCCATCCTATCAATTGCTTTTTTCCTGTGCATGCCTGGGGGGACAGGGGGGAGAGGAAGATCGGGAACGGAAGCAGGAAATGGATTCAATTCCGGTCGGGCCCCCCAACCCGGATGCGGAGGAGCCAGACCTGGTCTCTCTCCCCCCCAAAAATTACCTAAATCCAAAGGGGGGGTCAGAAACGGGGTTCCCCAAGGGGAGGATACAGAGGGTTCAGATCGGGGGGGCCTCCCCCAAAACCCCAAATTCCACTGTAGCCCAAAGGGTTGGGATCAGAAACGGGGTTTCCCTCCCCAAAATGGGGGCCTCCTCCCACCCCCCCAAAACCAGGTCTGGTTGCCTCCCACCCAACCTCCCCCCACGATTCTCTCCCCTCCCCCCTCCTTGACGGCTTTCGTTCCCGCTCCGCCCCCAACCCTCCAGCTGCCCCCACCCCATTTAACCCCCCCTCGGATTCCCGCCCGGGGTCCCTCCGGAAAGCAGCCCCCCAGCTTCCGGCCGCTGATCTCGGGAGACCTATATACCCTCCTTGATTTCCCAATACTGGTTTTCGTTTCTTTCTTTAATTCTGATATTTTACCCCCCATTTCCCCCCCTTAACATACAATGACTTCCCTTCTCTTCTGATGCAGTCTTCTCTCTATCTCCCAGCCGTAGGACCTGCCTTGACCAAAGGCCCTGATCCTATTTATTTAGGGGTAGGTGGAAAAAGTCTCTTGCCCCCCTCTCTAGAAGATGGAAGAAAGGGGGCTACAGCGACCGGCAGGGACCGCCCCCCCCAGGCCACCAATTGGGTGGGGGCCCCTCCTCTCCAAGCTCCTGAGAGGAGGCCCTCTGAGCTGCTGCAGGAACCCCAAGGTTGCTTGTAGCTCCGTCCCGCCCCGTTCCCCTGACCCCTTCCAGAAAAGGGTCCGCCCCACATACAAGGTCCTCACGTACAGATTCTGTCAGATGTTCGTCCCATGAAATTATGGACGTCCTACCACCCCTTTTGACGTTCTTCCCACAAAATTATGGACGTCCTACCATCCCCTTTGACATTCTTCCCATGAAATTATGGACGTCCTACCACCCTTTCTGACGTTCCTCCCATAAAATTATGGACGTCCTACCATCCCCTTTGACATTCTTCCCATGAAATTATGGGTGTCCTACCGCCCCTTCTGATCTTCTTCCCATGAAATTATAGACATCCTTCCTTCCCCTCTGAGGTTCTTTCCATGAAATTATGGATGTCCTACCATCCCCTTTGACGTTCTTCCACCGAAATTATGGACGTCCTACCACCCCTTCTGACGTTCTTCCCACAAAATTATGGACGTCCTACCATCCCCTTTGACATTCTTCCCATGAAATTATGGACGTCCTACCACCCTTTCTGACGTTCCTCCCATGAAATTATGGACGTCCTACCACCCTTTCTGACGTTCCCCCCATGAAATTATGGACGTCCTACCACCCCTTCTGACATTTTCCCCATGAAATTATGGGCGTCCTACCACCCTTTCTGACGTTCTTCCCACAAAATTATGGATGTCCTATCACCCCTTCTGACGTTCCTCCCTCGAAATTATGGATGTCCTACCATCCTCTCTGACATTCCCACCACTAAATTATGGACGTCCTACCATGATGTTCCTCCCCGGAAAACAGGGTCTTCCTATCACCCCACCCACTGATGCTTGTGGTGCTTCTGACCCGAACCACCCCATTCGAGACCCCCAAAATCGCCCTCTCGGCGGGGACCTGCCCCGTTTGCCCCAGGGATGGGATGGTTTTGAGGGCAACTGTACATCCTCTCTGACATTTCTCCGGGAGTTGGGGGAGAGGAGTGTCTGTTTCTTCCCCCTTCCATGAAAAGAGGTACTTCCGATTCTATTCCAAGAGGGGCGTCCTCTCCCACCCCATCCTGTGAAATTAGGGTACATCCATGAAAAGGACAGTGGATTCGCTCAGAGTCTGGGGTGGCTCCCAGGATCGCCCCAGCCCAAGATGGCCGCTCGGAAGGTCAGCGCTCGGAGGGGCCCTCCGGAGCCCAGCTGCCCGGCCGCCCTGTAGGGCAGGAGGAACACACCAGGCGAGCAAGGCAGCCCATGAAAGCGAGGCACAGTGTAGACGCGGCAGCCGGTGGCGGCCGTCTGGAGATCTAACCGCTTATGTACATGTTCGTTTTAGGATAGACCAAGTGCTAGAGCAGAACCAGGCCCTAGAATGAAAACCACTTTTAGGTCCATCACATCCACGCTGGCCAACAGCTTCAAGAGCCGTAGGTCCTGCAGAGACACGGTAAGAAGAAGACAACCGGTTGTGCCCTCCTTCTTTCTCTCTCTCTTTCTCCTGCCATCCCATCAACCGCCCCATCTCACAGCCGCCATGGCCCCGTTTCGTCCTGTCAGTCCGTCTCCACTGTCTGTCCCAAAGATCGAGGGCTCCCTCTTCTCCCCGTACGTGGTTTGTTTTCCTTTCTGTTCCGACCCCCCAAAAAACCCAGATTTTTCTTTCCCCCTCTTTTGATTTCCAGTCCTTCCTGTCCTGGTCCCCGCCCGGAAAGCGGTCCGCTGTGCCATCTTCCCCTCGTCCGTCCCCTGCCCTGCCATCTCCACCGTCTCCCTCTGCCTGTGGTAACAGTACGGCTCCGCAAGCAGTGGCCAGCAGGACTCCCTGCCACCGCCCTCTCCTGCCGCCACACTTCCTGTGGGATTCAGGCAAGGTGCATGGCCTCGCCCGGCACCATGTCTCTCATCACCTTCTGTACCTGTGTTTTTCTGTCCGTGGCTTCCTTGGAAATGACGAGGCGGGGGAGGGGTCCTCCATCATCAGGCGGACGGCCGATTTCCATTGCTTAGCCCACGCCAACGTTTCTCCCATGGAAACAGGGGCGTCTGGCCGCCCTCTCTGACGTTGACCCAACAGAACCGGCAACCCAAGTCCCCCCCGGGCCAGATCAGGCCATAGCTGTCAACATTTCCCTTTTCTTGCGAGGAATCCTATTTGGAATAAGGGAATTTCCCTTTTAAAAAGGGAACCGTTGACAACTATGGATCAGGCCCATTTGGGTCCTCAATCCAGGAAGCCGGATCTGTAAATCTCGGCGACACCGATGGGACCAAGAGCCCGAGCAGCGGCGGCTTGGCTGCTCCAACGCTGCGCCTGGTTTGCCCCGGCGGCATTTGATCAGCAGGGATGGCCCCGCCTTGCACTGGGATCCGGGCTCGCCATGGGATTGGTCGAGCCACTGCCGCTCAGCCTCTTTGTCCCATCCTTGTCACCAATAATCTTGGGTTCTGGCTTCACTCAGCCTCTTCCTCCCACCGCTGCTCAGCCTCTTCCTCCCGCCCCTGCTGCCCCTGCCGCCCTGGTGCCCCTAGGGTAAGGTTCCCAGGCATCCGCGTTTTCCAGGGACCGTCCCCAGATTTAGAAATCCTACAAAATCCATGGAGATTGAAAAGTATCCCCGGATTCATGGGGGGAAATCTGGTCACCTTATTCTACGGGCCAGAGAGTGAGTGAACAATCTCTCTCTGTCTACTCACGAGAATCGGTGGTGGCAGTGGCAGCAGCCCCTGGGAAGTTGGGGCTGGGGGGTGGAGAGGAGGACAATTTGTCCCCCTCACCTCTTCTTCCAGCTCCACCCCCCGGTTCTGCTTCTCCAGCCCGCCACAAGGTCTGTGGTACAGTAGACCGGCCGGCTGCTAGAAAAAATTGCCAACCCCTGTCCTGTTCCATACCTGCTGACATTTCTCCCATGAAAATATGGACGTCGTATTTGGTACCTCCCAACATTTCTCCCATGAAAATACAGACTTCTTACGATCCCCTCTGACATTTCCCCCATGAAAATATGGACGTCCTCTTCCATACCTGCCAACATTTCTCCCATGAAAATAGGAATGTCCTTAGGAAAAGCGGGATCAACCCCGGATCAAACCGGAAACTGCCATGGCTTCTTCAGATCTTGGGCTGTCCCTGCAAAATAGGGACCCTGGGATATCTGTTAGGATCCCTCATCCCAATCTGTTGATAGGCTGGGAAAGAGGCCAAGGCGGGACAACCCGAACTTCCACAATCTGCAGACTTTCTGCTGTTTTCCTATGTGCAGGCAGTTCCCCAGCCAGATGAGTGGGGTATTATTATTATTATTATTATTATTATTATTATTATTATTATTATTATTATTATTATAGCTCTTTGGCAACAATAATTGTGGTGGTGTTGATGATAATATATATAAAATAATATTGTTATTAGTGTTATTATTCTTATTATCATCATTATCATCATTATCATTATCATTAATTTATTTTATGGCTCTTTGGCAACAATAATTGTAGTGGTGGTGGTGATAATGATGATAATATATATAAAACATTATTGTTGTTATTGTTATAATTATTATCACCATTATTATTTATATTATTATTGTAATTATCATCACAATCATTATTATCATCAGGTAGGCAGCCATGTTGGTCTGATGCAGCAGAAATAAAATAATAGTAATAATGATAATAACCATAATTTTTTATATATATATTCTTATTGTCATCAATATCATTATTATCATCAGGTAGGCAGCCGTGTTGGTCTGACACAGCAGAAATAAAAGAAGAAGAAGAATACTTATTATTATTATTGGAAATTAATATATTTCACAAAACTTCTCCCATGATTTCTCCAACTTATTCCAAAGGGCGTTGGGCTACAATTTCCTCTGAACATCCTCCTGTATCAATGTGAAGATTGCTGTCACTCTCTCGGATCAGCCCCAAATATTCCTCATTGTTTCCACTCGGGATTTCCTCTGAAAATTCTCCTGTATCAATGCTAAGATCACTGTCATTTTCTTGGAGACCAGCCCTGAATATTCCTCACCGCTTCTCCTCCGAATTTCCTCATCAAATCATCCCATATCAGTGCCAAGATCACCGTCACAGCCCCCCCCCCAAATACCACATTAAAATACCCTTGAATTTTAAGGATGTTTAAATGAGTATTCAAGATTGTAAAACAGAAAAAAATTAATTAAAATTATATATATATTTAAAAAGACACACATATCAAAACCAGTAAAAACAATTCTAACAACAACAACAACAACAACAACAACAAGAACAACAACAACAACAACAACAACAATTTATTTATACCCTGCCCTCCCCGGCCAGGGCCAGGCTCAGGGCGGCTAACACCAAATATAAATTACAATAAAACATAATAGGAAAAAACCAAGAACAGTTAATTAAAATGCAGCTTAAAATGCAGCCTCATTTTAGTAGTAGCCCATAAGCGAAGACCATAAAGGGAGGAAACATCAGAACTATTTTTTATTTTATTTTATTTTATTTATTTTAATTATTAATTACTATTAGTAGTAGTAACCTATAGTAGCCCATAAATCAAGACCATAAAGGGAGAAAACAGAATTAAAAAGCAGTTTTACAGCATGTCAATCCGTTCTCATCCCTTTTTATTTATTTTTAATCCATTTCCGAATTTTTTGTCCATTTCCCACAGTAGGTTATTCCTTGTTGAACATCCCAAGCCACCACTCTGTGGCATTCTGGCTCCACCTCCTTTTGCTGAATTTATTCCTCCCTCCCCTCCATTCCCTCGTTCTCCTGAATATCCATCCATCCATTCCTTCCTTCCTCCCTCCCCTCCATTCCCTCGTTCTGCTGAATATCCATCCATTCCTTCCTTCCTCTAAATATCCATCCATGCTTTCCTTCCTCTGAATATCCTCCCATCCATTCATTCCTCCCTCCCCTCCCCTCCATTCCCTCATTCTTCCCACCGCTCCTGCCATTCTTACTCCCGGTCGGCCTTCTCCTCTCCTCTCCTCTCCGCTTCTCCTCCTCCAAACCCTCCTTTCCGCTTTCACCTCAGCACATTCCATCTTCCGCCCGTCCCTCCCGCCGTCGCTCTTTCGTTGGGAATTTCTCTTTCATTCCATCTTCCACTCTGGGCGGTCACAATCCAAATGATTGCGAATTCGGGTCGGTCTCGACGTTTGCAGGATTCAGGCTGTTTCCAAGGAGCAGATTGCACCAAAGCAATCCGTCCAAATGATTAAATCAGGTTTCTAATCAACATTTGCAGAATTCCAGCTATTTCCAAGGAGCAGATTGCACCAAAGCAATCTGTCAAAAATATCAGGATTCTGATCCACATTTGCAGGATTCCAGCTGTTTCCAAGGAGCCAATTGCAGTAAAGCAACCCGTCCAAATCATTCCACCAAATTTGATTTAATTCCCAGATATCTTCCCCATTGCGCATCATCCTTTCCGGCATGGTCGCCACCTGGGCAGGAAAGTTCCATCTCCCTCTCCAAACCCCCGGCCCGTTTTGGAGACCCTCTATTATGCATGTTTCTGAGTTGGTGGGGCATAGGGGTTGACCTCATCCCCGCCCTTTGGCGTCTTTCCAAAGGTCCCAGACATTGAAAGGTCCACCTGGGGCGAAAGCTAACTTCTCGGCCATCTTGAAATTCTTATTTTTTCCCCTCCTCTCTCTCTCCCCATCAAAAGGACATCTGTCACAAGATATTGGGAGGGTGGTATTCCAGAAGGGGAAATGTCTCGGCCGGAAAAGATGGCTTTCCGCCTTCTCAAACTCCCCCCACATGACTCTCCGTTTATTCCTCCTGTTCGTAACTGCAGGGATTTATAAAAAAAGTCTCCCCCCAGTGGTGGGTGTTTGCATAACCTCCAACATTTCTCCATTGAAGATAGGGACATCCTATTCCATCCCCTCCATCATTTCTCCAATGAAAATGGGGACATCCCATTCCATCCCCTCCAACATTTGTCCCATGAAAATAGGGACATCCTATTCCATCCCCCCCAATATTTCTCCGATGAAAATAGGGAAGTCCTATTCCATCCGCTCCAACATTTCTCCCATGAAAATAGGGACGTTCTATTCCACCCCCTCCAACATTTCTCCCATGAAAATAGGGACATCCCAGGAACAGCGGAACCTTCCGGGATCCCGGCGGAAACTGGGCTGGATTCTTCTATCCCAGGAGAGAGAGGGGTGCTCGGAGGGTCTGCTTCCTCTGGTGGCTTTCCCTTCTAGGCATTCCAGTGTGGAGGGTAGAGGGAGGAGGAGGAGGAGGAGGAAGAAACGCAGCTCTGGGTTGGCCGGGTTGGCCGGGCGGCGTCCCGCTTTCCTGGGGTGGTGGTTTTGGCGGTGTCCCCGGGTGCCGGCACCGGGTTCAAAGCCGGCTTTCGATGTAATAGACCATCCCTTTGATGCGCCTGCTCCCTACAGACACCCCCGCGAGGCCGCCACACCCAGAGTCCGTGAGCTGCAGATAAAGCCCTGTAGAGAATTCCCGGCTTCAGGAGTTCCTCCGCAAAGGGTGGGATCTTGTTGTGAATGTTGATGCATTTTTGTCCTGTATCCAAAGTCCTGTTTGATCTTGTGGGACGGGTGGTGGTGCAGGTGGGGGGAACAACTGGTCGTCCCCTTCTGGGACATCCCAGAAAAGGGCTGGGCGGGAGAGGAGTAGGGCGGCCATCTTGGAAAAAGTGGCTCTTTTGCGAGCCGAGTCGCCGAGCTTTTTCCCGGAGGGAGTTTCTTGGCGTACATGAAGGGAGAGTCGTCGGCAGATTTCGAAGGGGATCGACCCGAAATTGTCAAGGGGTCGAAGCTGCCGGGCGATTCCAAAGGGGATCGGCCCGAAATGGCTGAGCTAGCGGGTGCTGCTTTCCGGGGGAAGAGGCTGCGCTGCGAGGGGGAGGGAGCCCCCGCCCCACGTGGCTGCCCCCTGGGGGAGATCCTTGAGGGATGATGCGCTCCAACCGGGAAGGAGCTGAGCCGAATGGAAACTGGGGGCGGGACACGACGTCACAGGTCAGGGTTCTGAAATTAGTAGGGTGGCCCTATGTCAGGGTACCTAAAATGGGAAGGGTGGCCCTATGTTTGGCTCTGCCCACATTGCGGCACCCTGACTTTTTTTGTGGGAACAGAGCGCATCCCCGGAGATTCCCCGCTTGGTGCTCGCAGCCTTGAATGCATCCCAGTTTGGAGGCGCAGCATCTTCCTTGAGCGGTTTCCTACCGGGGCGGTGGCAGCCTACAGGGGCAGCATGTGTCTCGGCCTCACTCTGGCCTGCCTCTGCCTGACCACCGCCCCTCCCCCGTGTCTTGTCTTTTGTCTCCCCTGCAGCAGTACCACCCCACTGACCTTGCGGGGCAGCTCAACCTCTCGGACCCCTCGGTCAGCACCGTGGTGTGAGGGCCCCCGTCGCTTCTTTCCTGCCACCCCCTCTCAGACTCCCCCCGGGATGGACCAGCTCTTCTTCTCCCACTGACCTACCTTGTGGACTGGTGCTGAGGAGGTGGTCCCGCCCACCGTGCCACGGACAGACGGAGAACGAGCTCTGGCATGCCTCCAGCACCCGCTTCCCGTTTCCTTGCGCCCCTTCGAAGGACACCCTCCCAGGGCAGCCCGGCTTTCCCGCTTCCCGAGAGTTGAGGCAACTGTGCGGAACTGGGAGAGTCCCGTCCTTGTACAGTTCTCCGCTTCTGGTTGTCCACGTTGGGGCTTGCTCGATTTGGGGGAGCCGACTGACTGACTGACCTTCCTCTCCATGTACATAATCTGCTTCTCTTCCTACTGCCCACTTTGGGGATCACTCAATTTGGGGGGGACTTCCTTCCTTCCTTCCTTCCTTCCTTTTTTCCTTCCTCCTTTCCTTCCATCCTTCCCCCCCTTTGTTTCTTTCCTTCCCTCCCCCCTTCCTTCCTCCCCTCCTTCCCTCCTTCCTTCCTTCCCCTCCTTCCTTCCTTCCTTCCTTCCTTCCTTCCTTCCTTCCTCCTCCTTTCTTCCCTCCCTCCCTCCTTCCTTCGTCTCTCCTTTCCAAGACTTCCCAACCACCCTTCCCTGCTTCTTGCCATTTCCCCAACATTCCTACCTATTCCCATGGATCCATTGAGCTGATTTTCTCCCTTCTTGGAGATCCATTTGGGTCTCTTAGAGATCCACTCATCCCCTGATCTTCCCTTTATTGTATATTATGCTTTCGGAAACCCAGCCAGATGGCGGGGTAAAAATAAATTGTTGTTGTTCTTATTATTATTGATGATATTATTATTATTATTGATTTTATTAATATTGTTGTTGATATTATTATTATTGATATTATGTTGTTGTTGTTGTTATTTACCTGAATCCTGCTAGCATTTTCACTCGTCTGAAATTTATCTAACATCTGGAATTGTGGGCTGGAATTTGGACGTCTCTTCCTAAGGATTCTGTGGATTTTATTAATGATTATTATTAAAATAAAATGTAAATAAAAGTTGTTTTATTATTTTTATTTTAATTATTATACATTATTATTATTTTATATTATTAAAATTAATAATAATAAATGTAAGGAACCGCAGAAAGAGGGGGAAGGAAGTAACTAGATAATTAAATGAGCAAGGTAAATGAATTTGGGTAGGCGGAAGATATTTGGAAATAAATTTAAGGAACCACAGGAGGAGGGGGAAGGATGTAGATAATTAGATGAGCAAGTTAAATGAATTTAAATTGAATTTCTAATATCTTCTGCCTATCCAAATTCCTGCTCAAATCTGCCCATCCAATCATCTCCTGCAAATATAACAATAATTACAATAATCCTGTATCGGCGGGATTTTTCAACTGGATCTGGGGACTAATATATAATTGTGGGGGGTTTTTTGGGGGGTGTTATACACACACACACATATTAACATATTATAATATATAATTATAATATATAATTGTGGGTTTTATGAAGAGTTATTATAGTATCATTATATGTGTGTGTGTGTGGTGTGTGTGTGTGTGTGTGTGTGTTTGGGGGGTTATTATAATATTATATATTTGTGTGTGTGTGTGTGTGTGTGTGTGTAAAAAATATATATAATTGTGGGATTTTGGGGGAGTTATTATAGTACCATTAGATATGTGTGTATGTGTGTTTTGGGGGGTTATTATAATATTACATATATATATATAATATTGTGGGTGTTTAATATAATATAATATAAGATATGATATGATATGATATGATATGATATGATATGATATGATATGATATGATATGATGATATGATAATAATATAATATAATATAATATAATATAATATAATATAATAATTGTGGGTTTTGGGGGGATTAATACACACACATATATATACACATGTATATAAAATTGGGGGTTTTTTTGGGGGGGTTATAAACATATAAAAGTTCAAGAGAAATCCATATAACATATAAATGTTATATATCCATATAAACATATCAATCCATATAAAATCGATGTATTTTATTGCTCTTGTTGGACTACAACTCCCATCACCCCTAGCTAGCAAGGCCAGAGCTCAGGGATGATGGGAGTTGTAGTCCAACCACATCAATAAAATACCTGCACTATATATATATATATATATATATATATATATATATATATATATATATATATATAAACTGCGGGAGGTAGTGGAGGACAGAGGTGCCTGGCGTGCTCTGGTCCATGGGGTCACGAAGAGTCGGACACGACTAAACGACTAAACAACAACAACAACAAATGCCATATACCAGCCTTTCTCAACCTGTGGGTGCCCAGATGTTGTTGGACTACAAGTCCCATCACCCCTAGCTATCAAGGCCAACTGAAGAATATTGGGGGGGGGCATATTCTATAAAGATTTGGGGGCCCAGAATCTCTTTAGCGGTGAGGTTTGGCTTTCCTCCACCCCTGCTTTGTATATTGGGGGGGGGGCACATCCTAGGAAGGTTGACGGGGTGGGGGCAATATCTTGAGCGGCCATCCTGCTTTGTGTAATGGGGGGCACATCCTATAAAGATTTTTGGGGGGGGTCGGCCAATCTCTTGATTTCCTCTGCTCCCCCCCCCCGCGATTTCTCCTGCCCCCACCCCGCTTTTATCTAACCCTCCCCCCTCTCCCCCTAAGCCCTCCCCCCCAGCGACACCAAACGCCGCCGCATTGGCCGGCCGCCTCCTTTTCTCCTCTCCCGCGCGCGACTGCGCGCGCGGGTGCGCGCCTGTCTTTGCAGGGGGATTTCGGCGCGGCGGACAGCGCCATTGCGCTTCAGCGCCATTGCGATTTTTGGGGGTTTTTTTGCGGGGAGATCCGGCGGCTGCTTGCAAACGGGGGTGGCAATTCAGCACCAGGGACAGCTGCGGTGTTTTTGCAGGGGGGGCAATTCAACACCAGGGACAGCGGCGGTTTTTGCAGGAGGGCCCCAATTCAGCAACAGGACGTCTTTTTGCAAGGGGCGAGGGGCTATTCAGCACCAGGGACTGTGACGTTTTTTGCCAGCGGTGGCAATTCAGCACCAGGGACAGCGGCCTTTTGCAAAGGGCCAATTCAGCACCAGGGACAGCAGCCGCCTCTGCTTCTTCCACAGGGCCGCTTCAGGACCACGGACAGACCCTCTTGCGTGGCAGTTCTCCGCCGCCTGGGGGGCCCTTGGGCTGCGCCGGGCGACGGTGGGGTGACCGCCATGCGCCTCCTGCTGCTGGCCGTGCTGCTGTGCTTCTCGGTGGCGCGGGGGGGCTGCGAGCCCAAGGTGGTGAACATCGGGGCGGTGCTGAGCACCAAGAGGCACGAGCAGGTCTTCCGCGAGGCCATCAACCAGGCCAACAAGCGCCATGGCACCTGGAAGATCCAGCTCAACGCCACCTCCGTCACCCACAAGCCCAACGCCATCCAGATGGCCCTCTCCGTCTGCGAGGACCTCATCTCCAGCCAGGTAGCCGCACCGCGCCGCCCAAGAACCGGTCGGGGGAACCCCCTAGGGACTCCTCCTCAACGTGATGGGCCAAGCTCTTGACCTGGTGACTGGTTGGCCCCAGAAAGGACCACCCAGGGACCCCTGGATCCTGTGGACTGTGGGCTTGGGGCACCAACCTAGGAACCCGCAGGCCACAGAGATCAACCTAGGGACCCTACCGCCCTAAGGAAACTTCAGCTCTAAGGACTGGCCTAGGGATTTCTTGACCCTACTAAGGGCCAGCCAACAACCCTTGACCCTATGAACCAGCCTCTTGGCTTGGGGCACCAGCCCAGGGACAACCCCCCCTGTTTCTTTCTTTCTTTCTTTCTTTCTTCTTTCTTTCTTTCTTTCTTTCTTTCTTTCTCTCTTTCTCTCTTTCTCTCTTTCTCTCTTTCTCTCTTTCTCTCTCTCACTCCCCCTCTCTTTTTCTCCTTCTCTGCCACCTCCCTCCCT